GTGAGAGAAGCCAGACGAGACTGCCAAGGGTGCGGCAGCCGGGACAGAAAACCAACATGGAGGCCGAGCCGTACGAGCTCGGCAAGGCCAGCAGGTGGAGCCATGGCCGCACCGGAGGCTCAGGCTAAAGGCGGGATAATTTGATTTTCTAGAAAGCAGATTCGGTAAGTCAGGGCAAGCTGTCCAGTGGTCACAGGGAACCTGCCGCCACCCACCAACACACACACACCCTTCCTCCCAAAGCCTACATGCATATTCGGACAAACTGGGGTGAAATGCTATGGCAGGTTGCTGGGCCTGAGGCTGGAGGTGGTTCCAGGACTCAGTTGCCTTTTCTGCCCCTCCCATGGAGAGGGAGTCGGATACCCTGAAGGCAGTTAGGGCAGAGGGCAGGGGTCAGTAGGAAAAGGCCAGCAGGATAAGAACGTCACAAGAATGTGAACGTGTTTAGCTTAAATAAATGTAACCAATAGGGCCCCTTTAGTTATTTTACTTTAGCCCTAACATCTTTATCTAAGGTAAAGGAGGAATTCCTTTAATCGGAGCATGCGCATGCACCATTGAGGCAACAGGGTCCCTAAATGAACCACCCTTATTAACACAGTAAAAATCACACCCACCAGTGCCCTGGCAACTCCCAGAAGTTACCCGATAAGGTCAAGAAAGGGGAGGTTTCCCGGTTTTAGGAACTCTCCACCCCTTTCCCAGAAAATTCATGAATACTCCACCCACAGCTTAGCATATAATTAGGGATTAGCATACAAGGACAGACCCTAACCCTGGGGTGATACTGTTCCTCCCTTGGATCAATCTGCTCTTTTGCCTTTTCTTAAGACTGTACTCTGCTTTCAATAAATCTTTCTACTTCTGTCTGCACCTCATGTCTGTTCTTTCTCTCGCTCGTGCCCCTGGGCTTGAATTCCTTCCTGTGTGGAGGGCGAGAACCCCCTCTGCAGATGTGGGTGGTGGTCTGCAGCAGTATCAGCGTGTTTCCTGGGAGCCTGTACCCCATACCCCCCTCTCTCCCCAATGGGTCTGGGCCAGTCCCTCATCTGGTCACTCTCATGGCAAGCTGTGCAACTAGAGGCAGGCCAGCTGGGCTTCCCTTTCCCATTGCCACCTTCCTTGCTCTGACCCCCAAGTCAGCCATCACCTTCTAGGGAAGACTCTAGACCTCATCCCTTTATTGTATCTCCCGGCATCCTGGGGAGAAACCTCTGGTTAGAGAAGTTGGAGAAAAGCAAGAAGGAGATGGGGGTGGGGGAGAGCTAAAGGGAAAGGTCTGGCTTTGGTGAGATAAGAATGGAAGAATCAACCCTTGTTTGGCCCCAACCTCCCCTGCCTCTGTTGACACACTGGGGGGTGTTTCCTGGAGCTACTTAGTAGTGTCTGGCAACACTGGTTCCCCCACTTCCTGTGGTGGGGGTGGGGGTTAGGGGGCATCTGGAAGCTGGGGGGAGGTGAGTGCTTACATATGTTTTAAAATTTTTTGCAGTTAGGCTGCTTTCTGAATCTTGAGGGTGGACACCAGCCCCCGCCTGGAGTTGGTAGCCAGATCTTTAGAACAGTCCCCACATAGTCCTTTCCTATGTCTGCTCTGACCTAGGGGAGGGGGCAGTCTGATAATAGAGGGTGCGTAAGACATTGCTCCTTTGCTTTGTTTTGCCTATTTTGCATGCAGTGACCAGCATGTCCCTCTTCTCAGAAGGGTGTCTATGAAGGGTACAGTCCATATGTCCCCAGCACACCACCCTCCATCCTGAGGCTGCACTCGGACCTGCCTTTCTTCCTCCTGCTGGAAACAGCCAGCTTTCCTGGGAGCCTCCCCACCTCTCCCCATGGAGGGCAGCAGGTGGCAGACTCAGCCAAAGGTCCTTACATCCTGGCTGGTACCTGCGCCTGCTGAGGTGGTCCAGCCTCTTCCCTGGCTAGCCCCTCCCCGCCATCACTGCATAGTTCAGCCAGGTCTGATGGAGAGACCACTCTTGCATTTAGACGCATCCAGCTAAGATAGAGCCAAAAAACAGCCGGTGTTTCAGTATCACTTTAATTACAGCATTTACCCACACCACTTTTTATTGAGAAAAAAAAATCCACCCCATCCTTTTGTCTCTGGAAAGTTCTATTTCCAACTGTCATTGAAACCAGGAACCCGCCCACACCTCTGGAAACAAACAACAACAACAACAACAACAACAAACAAGGACCTGGGTCACCCACAGAGGAGGCAACTTGTGGTCAGATGCAGGGAGGGGCCCTGCACACTGCCCAGCCCTGCCCTACCCAGCCGAGTCACAATTCTGTATCAGCCACCACATGTTGTCTTGCTGAATGGCCGTTTCTGGAGGTGGCCTGGCCGGTGCCGTTCTCCTGAGCCCCTCGGTTCACACTGGCCTTTCCCTGAGCCTCAGGGGAGGCCCCAGGTCCTGAGCTATAGCCCTGGCCTCCACCGTTCTCCGTGTAATAAGGGTCTTCGCCCTAGACAGTGTATAAATAAAGTAGCATTATCTGGTAAGCAGGGGTATCAGACACTGTGGGGTGGGGGAGGGACCCAACAGGAAGCAGGGGCCAGGAGCAGGAGGGGGGGCTGCAGCTGCATGTGCAGACTCCTTTCTTCCTGGAGAGCAGTCAGGGTTCCAGCTCCTAGAGGAGAAAGGACAGAGGAGAGGCACCACACCATGCCACCGCAGCTCAGTAGCCAGCTCCCGCCAAGAAAACAGGCAGTCCCAAGAGTAGAATAACCTTCCCAGAATGGGTAACAGGCCAGAGTCAAGAGTTCAACCTCAGCCTCGTCCTCCCTCATCCAGAACACTTCAAAAGTAATCTTCCTTCCATATGTCCCCTTCTCGTGAGCAAGATGGCACCCAGTGGGCATTTAATATGCTTGCAAATAAGTGTGGCTGATTCTGGTGGCACCCAGCTGAACTCTCCCAGAAAGTATCTGCTAGCTACCACAGCACGTGGGTAGGCTGGCCCCAGTCACCGCCCCCTTCCCAAGTGGCTACATAATGTTTTGAATCTTCCATGGACGCAGTGCGTATGCATGCATATCCCTATATAAGTGCACAGAAGTGCCTTTTCTGGTATTTCTCCTCCTCATCCATGGCATCCATGGACCTCCCCAGAAGACCGCTATCTTCCTCATTTCCTTTGCCCTGGACCCCAGAACTGACCAGCCTTTCTCCTGTGGGGCTCCAGCTGCGGCGATTCATCAGGTAATAGCCAGTGATGCCCAGGACAGCCAGCAGGACCCCCGAGGTGACCAGTGCAATCAGGGTCTTCCGGGAATAGCTCTGGTGGCTCTCAACATCTTGCGCAGAGAAATTTTTGATCCCCAGCTTGAAAAGAAGAGACAGAAAAGATAGCCTGTCACTTGTGAAAAGTGGGTTCTGGAAGAGGAGCCCAGCCCACTCTAGATCCCTGTGTGTGACTCAACAGGGACATTGACCTTAGGGATTTTTGAAACAGGATTGAAGACTGACATCTCTTAGTTAAGTTGCACTAAGAAATTTTTGGTTCAAGCCTAGAAAGTTGAAGACCATCAGGGAAGGGTGGAGAGGCAGGAAAGGTAGGGCTGGAGAAGATAATCACTTCCTCCACCACGCCAGTGAGCTCTGCTGACCCAGTATTCCCTCTGAGAACCCTCATCTCAGAGAACTTACCTTTGTCAGGTCAGACTGGTGCTTTTTCAAAAGTTGGAGCTTGCTGGAAATTTCTAGAATTAGAAACAGGGGTTGCTGGATCTAGAAGCTAGACCAGTTCATCCTGCTCTACTACTCTCCCATGCGGTTCTAGAAGATGCTCTGATGGCTGGGATGGTCTATCTCGCGCGGGCCACTCCCATAGTCAGCCAAGCCTTGGGGTCTCTGGGGCTGAGATGCCTGATCTCCACACAGGGTGCTCCAGCCTCAGCCCTGCCTAACCTTAGCCCTACTCCCTCCCAAGCTCCTGAGCTCCCCAGACAGATGTGTCTTTTACCTGTCCTGTTGCCCAATACCAGCAGCAGGCACTGAGGCCTAACCTCAGACTGGGCGAGGAGCAAGGAGCACACACGGGCCCCAGCCTCGGCGTCAGCCTGCTCCTCCCTGCACAGTACTTGGGCCAGGTCTTCTCCTTTGTCCTTTTTAAAGTCCTCCTGGGAAGGCAGAGAAAAATGGAGAGCAGGAGATGAAGTTATCACTATATCCTAACCTGCATCGAGAGTCTCAAGCAATAATTCTGATTTAAGACACATTACTACCCCCTCCACAAGAAGGATTCTTCTTTCTAAAATTCCAACTAAAAAAAAAAAAAATACTACTAATCGTATATGTGCAACAACACAACACAAAAAAAACTCAAAAATTTCCCAGTACAAAAATGTACATTTATTAGCGTCTAAGACGTCAGAGAACAAACCTAGGAAGCATTATCTTATTTAAGAATTGGCCATGTACACATACGCTATTCAAATTAAATTCAAAAGGCATTACCACCAACAGAAAAAATTAATATTGCAATAATAACTAAGAAAAAGTCCTTTGTTTCAAGGTTACAGTAGGCTTACACGGTGGAAGAAAAGCCGAGGGAGGTGAGGAATCCAGAACAAATCTATCACTACACACTCAACAGGAGCCTCAGTGGCTTCCTCTCTTACTGTCCAAAGAGCACTACTCAAACTGAAATAGTGTTTCTGTCTGGTTTTCCATCCCCCTTTTCCATTAAAAGCATGGAACCCAGTTTTAATGGGGTTCATAGATCTTCCTCCAGGTGGCTGACTGGCCCATAGGACTCAGGAACTGAGACGCAGAAGATAAACCCAGATAATTCTTCAACCATCGAGTCCTAGGAAAGGTATGAATTGGAAGCACTGGCTATGCGCCCTTCCAAACTCTGTTCTCCCACTTTCCAGGATTTCTCCCAGCAGCCTCCCATCAGAGTGACCTCCCCTGCACACGCAGGAAAGGAACCGAAACTAAGACTTGCTCCTCAGTCCGGATAGCAGATGGCAGAGGAGGAAATGCCTGAACGGCTCTGACATCTTTCCTGTTAGGGAAAAACTGCTGGGGCGTGTGACCGTCATCAGAACTAAGCCTCTGTGGAGCAGAAAGCTTCCTGTTTGCAGGCACGACTGCTGCTCGAGACGAGGCCGGAGGGTCCTCCCAGCTGGAATGGAGCCTGGGTATTTTCCTACTGCTATGACCCAAGGCAGGAAAACCCAGGCTCCTTTGCTTCTGCACAAGGCAAGGTCAAGACTGGCCTCAGGACCCAGCTGGAATCTGAGGGATCTTAGGGAAAATAACTGGGCTTGGATGAGGCCAGAAGAGCATGGCTAAAGACATGAGTCCAAAAAGAGCCTCAGAAACCCCCCAAGAGATGAGGTCACAGAAAAGTGAATTCTCAGGCCACTGCTGCTTCATCTCTCAGGAAAGAATCAATTCTGCAGGTCTCCCAGTAAGTTCTCCGGTAGAGGCTCTGCTTCCGGAAAAACCTGTTCTTTAAAACGGCATTTGCAGTAGGTAGTTGGGACACCACACTGGGTGTGATCAGCTGTCTCCTTCCTCTCTTAGGAGACCCTCACATGGCTTCCCCTCGAGGACTCCCCTCCCTAGCACCATGCTTCTGGTTAAAGAGGAGCAAGGTCCTTGCCCGGATGACTCCAGGCTCCTGAAATGTCTCTGTGGTTGCAATATGTCTGCTTCCTGAGACAGGCAGAGGGACAGGGCTCCCGCAGGATCTAAACTAGCCAAACCAAATGGCAGCTTCTTCTGCCTGCTGAGTCCAAAAAGTTGCACCTTGAGACTATCCAGCTGCTCTGACGTTGATCAAGCCCCGAATATAAGACACTGTGCAAAAACCTCTGTGCATGTGCCTTGTGTATGTTTGTGTTGTATGTCATGTGTTGTGGGGGGATTGGGGGGGTATCTTGAATTCCATATGGTCAAAGCTCTGTTTGTACATATGGCAATTAAAATAAAGGGTCCCTGCTATGTCCTAGGCACTGTTCTATGTGCTTTGCACGTATGGACTCATCTAGGCCTCACGCAGCTCTATGAGATGGGTGCTATTATTCTCCTCCTTTGGGAGATGAAGAAATGGAGGCACAAAGAGACTAGATTCTTTGCAAGTCACGCAGGTGGTCTGAATGTCAGGTTCCTCGGCCATCTGCTGAGTTGCTGTGGTGACTAAAGAGATATTTGTGTGAAAAGTATCCAAAATGGTGCTGGGAACCTAATGGGCACTAGATAAATGGCAGCTATTACCATTATTATTAATAGCAGTATCTTATATATCATCTAGAACCCATATTTTATCATATTCTGCCTTACTGCTATTGTCATTTCTGACTATACCGTAAGACTCCTAAGTGTGGTGGGGGACGGTGTACATTAGAAAATTTTGAACCCAGTCTGCACTAATCATAGCACCTACCAAACAAAGAACTCAGGGAATTGTTGTTCAACTCAGCATCCCAACTGGTTGGCCTCTGCACAGGGTCCCTCCACCCCTCGCTTAGTTTCTTGGACTAAATTCAAGGGAATAACAGCAGTTAGCCTCCCACTCTGGAGTCCAACGGCATCAGTGAATTGTGTTCAGGCCCCAAGAGGAGCAGGTGGATCCTGAACAAAGCACAATACTTCTCCGGATGCTTGCAATAAACATCCTCCCCCAAGAGAGGCTGTGGCCAAACATCATGGGAGAGTGGGCAGGAGGAAGCCACAGCTTCACCATTTTGCTCATAAGAATCAGATTTACAAGCCTCTAGCTACATCAGCTCACACGTGTTTGTTTGCAAAAATCATAAAACCAGGTAGAGAGGTTATTTCTAGAGTAGCATCTTCAAACTTTGCAAAGACTCTTAACATGTTAAAGAATCACATCAAGCACTGGGGTGGGGAGGAGGGAGAGCATGCATTTTTCTAGATGACCTTTAAGATATTTCCCAATGTTGAGGTTCTAGGATCAATTGTCTCCCCCACCCCTTTTAGGATAATTTTATCTACTTTGGTGTGAGTTTGACAATGCAGGTATAAACTCAATTTTCACATAGGAACTGGAGTAATTAAGGGACCTCCTACAAGTTAAGCAACAAGTGGGCAGCTAACCAAGGGCGAGAAGTTATATTATCTCCAGATATGAGGCTCTTTTCAGCAGACCCGCCATCTTCATCAATCCTTCATCTATAACTTATGTTTTCTGCATGGAAACCGATCTTTAGTGTTTGGGCAGAGGGCAAGGAAGGCGGGGGATATGATCTGGAGGCTGGAGGCAGCCTGCTGGGTGTGTCAATGTGACAGAATAAGGGTAATGTGAGCTAGCTGAGTAAATACAAACTCTGCATGCAAACAGATGTGGTACTTAAGAAAGGGAGCTCTAAAAAACAAACTGGTGGGCAAAGGACCAGAACAGACTTTTCTCCCAAGAAGACATACAAATAGCCAATGAAAAGATGCTCACATCACTAATCATCAAGGAAATGTGAATCAAAACCACAATGAGATACTCCTCATCCCCACTCGGATGGCTACTATAAAGGAAAAAAACCTAGAAAATAACAAGTGTTGATGATGATGTGGGCAAACTGGAACCCTTGTGCACTGCTGGTGAGAATGTAAAATGATTCGGCCACTATGGAAAACGGTAAGGTGGTGCCTCAAAAATTTAAAGATAGAATTACCATACGATCCGGCCATTTTACTTCTGGATATGTACCCAAAAGAACTGAAATCAGGGTGTGGAAGAGATATTTGTACACTTGTTCGTAGCAGTATTATTCACATTAGGCAAAAGGTGGAAGATCAAGGGATGAATAGAGAAACAAAATGTGGTATATCCACACAATGAAATATCATTCAGCCTTAAAAAGGAAGGAAATTCTGACACATGCTACAATGTGGATGAACTTTGAGGACATCATGCTGATTGAAATAAGCCAGTCACAAAAAGACAAACACTGTATAAGTCTACTCATACGAGGTACCTAGAGTAGCCAAATTCGTAGAGACAGAAGTAGAACGGTGGTTGCCAGGGTTTGGAGGAGAGAGGAGTGGGGAGTTGTTTAACGGCACAGAGTTTCAGTTTTGGAAGATACAGACAGTTCTGGAGATTATAGAACAATGTGAATGTACTTAACACTACTGAACTGTACACTTCAAAATGGTTAGGTGGTAAACTTTATGTTATGTGTATCTTACCACAATTAAAAAAAAAACATTTTGGTGGATTCCCCCCTGGAAAAATGGGTACAGCATAAGACAATAAAGTAATCTCACATTTTGGAAACTATTTGGGGGAACCACAAGCACGAAAACTAAATTAAGCTGACACTTCAGGAGAGAATGAAAGTTAGATTTGGGGAGACATGTTCTGCTAATAAGGGTTCTGAGATACGGTAGCAGGTGCTTGAGACGAGCGTGGTATCACCTTCCCTTCCCTGGCTGCCTAGAGGTGAAGGATGGGGAGCAAAAGGAGAGTAATTGGGATGTAAATGTCTACAGGATATGTGTCCAGAAGACACGCCTAAATAATCCACATAGAGGGAGCTAACGTGTGGGTAACCACTAGGTACTAGTGCAGAATGAGTGTCTGGATAGCTGAGAACCATGCACACGTATTTCTGTTACGGGCATCGACCAGATGCAGGAGTGGACCAACATTGTATAAGTACTCAAGGGCACGATGCCAGGGGAAACCAAATCCTTCATGCTCCTGATGAGGCTGTGGGTAGGGCCCGAGTCTCCCAACGTTAGAACCAGTACCCTCAGGCCCTCTGACTCCAAAAGTACAAATGCAACTGAAGGAAAATTCGGTGGCATTGCACCACTCACAGCCTGTGGAACAGACTGATCATCAGACGAGCAGAGAGTAGGACCCAAGGAAAGAGAATCTGGGATGCAATCGGGAGCTGTGGCTGAAAATTCTGGAACAAAGATTGCTGGCTGAGGAAAAACCACCTTGAGGCATAGGAGGAGGCACTGTGGCTTGGGGGCTGGGGAAGAGGAGCCCTCAGGAAGCAAGAGGATGAAGAGTGGTGGAAAGACCAGGGGAGCAGAGCACCACCCGTGTGCTGTCACGGAGGTGATTCGTTAGGAACCGGGCCCTGTGGAAGCCCCCGTTAGCATATGAAATTGGGGGAAGCTACTCTCTTGCCACATCCCTACTCACAGATCCTCCCCAAATCTCAGAGGAGTGTGCAGTTCAGAGACCATCTCAGCTGTGGCACAAAATAGATTAGACAGCAAAGACCACGGAGAGACAGACCACAGCAGAGTAAGAAGAATCATTCCTGGAGTAGGAGTAAGTTTCTGCCACTTGTCTTGTACAATGACCCAAGTTAGATGTGAACTTTGAAGAGCAACAGATAGACACTTAGAAGGCTCTGCAGGTAGCTCTAAATCCTAGGTACAAAGAATTAGCATTCTGATACAGACCCGTATGATACATAGGAAAATAAATATTCCACCGAGATGATAGAAAAACAAAACAAAAAAGAAGGTGGTCATATTCTTTAGCTACAACTAGCAAAGGATTTGACAAATTTTTTTCCTAATGGGTAGAGTTGAAAATCAGCACCAGAAACACACTGTGTATTACTTGTACATTGCATATTCATGATTAAGTTAACTATCTTGCAAAGTGCATTTAGTTATTTCATTATGCAAACTCATGTCTTCGTAATTTCTGTTGTTTCTAAATGTTCTAAGTTAAGTAATTCTTTTAGATGTAATTTTGAAAAAATTAGATGATTGTAGGTAAGACATCAGTAGTCAGAATGGACAAAATAAATAACTTATGCCCTCTGCACACTGCAGTGTTTCCAGTCTATGCATGTTATGCTTCACATATATGTTTCCCTTAAATGGATTTCCAGCCTGTAAGAAAATATTTTTTTATATAAGTAAATACCACTCTTCCCTTCACCCCATCCTTCCTCCAGAGCCTTGTGACTATCAGGAATTGGATTTACTGAAACAAAGCAAGGCCTGCTATCATCATTAAAAATTAACACCATACTCTACACATTCTTACCAGTGGAATAAGACATGAAGCGAAACAAGAGGCATAATTACTAAACAGGAGGCGAAAAACAATACATCACAGTAGATAACAAAGTAGCTTACTTTAAAAACTAAAAAGAAGCAACTGGGCCGGGCGCGGTGTCTCCCGCCTGTAATCCTAGCACTCTGGGAGGCTGAGGCGGGTAGATTGTTTGAGCTCAGGAGTTCGAGACCAACCTGAGCAAGAGCGAGACCCCGTCTCTACTAAAAATAGAAAGAAACTGGCCAAACAACTAAAAATAGAAAAAATTAGCTGAGCATGGTGGGGCGTGCCTATAGTCCCAGCTACCTGCGAGGCTGAGGCAGGAGGATCGCTTGAGCCCAGGAGTTTGAGGTTGTTGTGAGCTAGGCTGACGCCATGGCACTCTAGCCCAGGCAAGAGAGTGAGACTATGTCTCAAAAAAAAAAAAGGATCAACTAAAAATCTCCTAGAATCAATAAGCGAGATCAAGAAAATGGCCAAGCCCAAGATAATTATTCAAAACTTCATTAACTTTCTAACACATCAGCAACAATCAATTTGAATATACAATGGGAGATCTATGCTATGAATAATCCTCAGAGATCTACCAAACCTACAGAAAAAAAATTCAAAACCAAAAAAACCCAAATCCTAAGAGATACAAAAGAAAACCAGAAAAAATATAGTGATTTTAGAGCAGCTTCGTTTAAAAGTTTAATGCTATTTTTTTTGCATTTTTTCTAAAAAAAAAAAAACACTTTATACTTTCTACAGTGTAATGAAGAAACACCTTCCCGGCTGGATATTATAATAAAAATACTGTAAGGTAAACGTACAATGATTTTGAAAATTTAAAACAGGCAGAAGTACAGACAAACTGAACAAATAAAATATCTCTGAAGAATATGCCCTGGGACATATAAAAACCTGAAATAAGCTAAAGGAAGCATCCCAACTAACAAAAGAGGGAATCATTCAATAAGTAGTGTTAGGAAAAATGGTTGTGTGGAAAATATAGCATTACAGCAAAATTAATTCTGTGTGGATTAGAGTTATATATAAATAATAATAAACGAACTGACATTTTAGGTGACTAGTTTATATCTGGATAGTGAGAAGGACTTTCTTAAAAGCAAACTTAAATTTGACAACATACGTGTGTGTGTGTGTGTGTGTGTGTGTGTGTGTGTGTGTGTATATTAAATGTACTATAGAGGAGGGAAAAAATAACAAAGCTTAATTAAAATTGTTTTTGCCTTTTTTGCCCACCAGATGGGGCCTCTTACTCCCTAAACCAAAAGCTCTGTGTAAGAAGTAAGCTGACCACGCTAAACTCCCCCCACCCTTACCAAAGTCCAGTCCAATCCAGGAAGGCTTGTTTCAGGAGGGATTGGGAGGGGGAGGGGAGGAAGCAGAGTGGGAGGGGGTCGACTTACACAGCTGGAGGTCTCATTTAGCTCCAGGCAGATGCCCTGAGTCAACCTCACTTCTCTGACGCCTGAACATTTGATTTCTCCCTGTATTAAAACGAAAACAATAACAAAAACAAAGTAAATAAGCCAGTATCTTTGTCGCTCATTTCTTCCCCTCCTTTTTTTCCAGTTCGTTTTCTTTATGTATTTTTGTTTTCCTTTTTATTAGAGACGGTGTCTCACTCTTGTTCAGGCTGGTGTCAAACTCCTGAGCTCAAGTGATCCTCCCTCCTCGGCCTCCCAGAGTGCTAGGATTACAGGCATGAGCCACGGCACTGGCCTCCAGTTAGGTTTCTATGGGGTACTCTCTTAAAAGAGGTTTTAGGGAAAAGGAAATTCAAAATTTGTCAGGGAACTAGAGATTTCTAAGAGTTATATTCTCTTCCTCTATCTCACCCCTATCCCCATCAGATAATACAAACTTTTGTTACTAGCCCAGGCTTGCAGGCAAATAGCTGTTTGTCGTCTTGGCAAACATTGGCTTGGATGGTTCAGGAATGGGAAAGGACAGGATCTTTTCCCATTTGGGTTGTTTTCCCTCTAGTGAAATCTACCCTTGCGGGAAGGCCGCACAGGCAAACAGGTAATGGCATGGCCTGGTATATCCTGGTAACACCTATTTTCCTCCTTGCCCCCCGGACTCTCCGGATTCTTATTCTGGCTCCTTCAAAAATAGGAAGCAGACAGATCGCTCATGCCTGTCCCCAGGCTCCAACCCTCATATTTTCTGCCCTTCGTGCTGAAAGCTGTTGACAGCCACGGGCCCCACAGCTGCGAAGGACAGGCTGAGCTCTCCGTCCCTGGTCTGCACGGTTCTACCACTGTCAGCGACCTCCTCGCTGCTTCTCTATGCGGCAAACCCACCACACCCTCGCACAGCGAGGAAATGGTATTTGTCCTAAACATTTCGCGAGAGGCAGCCCCATTAAAGGGGGACAGTTTCTAAATACTGCCAAAAGGGAATGGTGCCCTAGTCAGTAACACCAGTAGGTACCGGAAAGAGCCACAGAGGACTAGATGGATCTCTGAGAACCCCCTTAACTCGCTGCTCCCTAAAATGCAAAACCTAAAGCGCACATCAGCCTTGTCCCCTGACTCCAGCCCTCTCCTCCCCCTTTTACCCCTCCCAGGTATATTTTCAACTGCCTGTTTCCACGCTGATTCCCACGACCCAAACCCCACCGGCGGGGATGAGGAGAAGAGGAGGGGAAGACAGAGCTTGCCTGTACACATGTGAAGTGACAGGGCAATGTGCCATTTTTGGCCCAGTTCACCCACCTTGATGGTACGTGGGGTAAAAGTAGGTGATACGTAAGGTTCAGTGGTCGACGTCTCAACGCTGGTGTGGTTGAGTGAGGAATCTGAAACATTTCCAGGTGATATGCTGGGCTTCGAGGTCATCTCTGAAGTCGAAAAGTTGGCGAGGGTGGTGGGCACTGTGATGGCCAGGGAGGTCTGAGACTGGACAGAAGAGTTTGTGGTTCCAGAGACTGGGGTGACCTCAGAGGTAGATGTGAGATTGACTGTAGTCTCTGGAATAGATCGAAACACAGGGGTGCATGTGTGCACGTACGCACACGCACACAATCTCAGTTCGTGGCGTGGGCATGGATTTCAACACGGAAAAGGGAGTTTGGGGAGTTAACAGTCACTTCATGTCCTAACACTGACCAAACTCATTTCAAGCCAGCTGTCAGAACCATAGCTATAATCTAGAATGTATTAGAGGTGCCCTCAGGATTCTGAGACTGAAATAGACGCTGGTTCAGCCCAGAGAAGCCAAAGACCGCCAGTTTAAACCTGTACCCACTTTCCTTCCTCTTTGGAAGAGATCGGAGATCTCTATGAAGTCCCCATTTGATCCTTACTTTATCACTAAGCTGAACTCAGCATGAGTGTAGGAGTACAGGGAGCATTACCTATCAGAACTGGCTGCCAAGGCATGGGCCTGAGGAAGTTGTCACTCTAGGAAGAATTATCTAGAACTTACTTCAGGGCACCCTAAGCACAATGCTCAAACCATTAATACAAGGGGCTTGCATGATTTCATCTGTGGTGAGGGCAGCCGTCTGCAAACCGTCCTAAATGCTTTACCCAAGCACCAGCAGCATCTTTCTGGGGCCCGAGACAAACACTCTTTTTACCTGAGATGGTCGCTGTGGTCCCATTGCTGTCCAGGAAGACAGAGTATGGCCTGGTACTTCCAAAGGTACTTGGTGCTGTGGTTTGCTCGTTGGATAAATTTGTAAAAGTAACTGAAATCGTTCTCAGGGTGGTTGACTCTGCAGTAGTAGTAGTCAAATTTTCTGTATTTGTGAACCCGGAGGCTATAGGGAAACAAAGAAGAAGAATCAGAACCTAAACCTTCCTGGAGCCTCGTGATATTGCCTGGTACAATTTCTTGACTTCAGGTAGAATCCATCTAGAACATTCCCTGCTGCCTCTGGCAATGGAGCAGTAATAAGAACATCCTCCTGGACAGTGAACTAATTTCCCACCACTAGATCACCCTAAGGAAGTAGAGAAGGAAAAAAATGTATGCAGACAAGTGTCTAGTGTAGCATTATTTAAAGGAGGGAAAAGTTGCAAACAACAAAATTAATTACAATAGGATAAATGGTATATGCACTTAATATGCCATAATCATTATATAATGATATACATAATCATTACAAGTAAAAACTGATGAAAATGTGGCAACACGGAAATGTGAGGCAATGTTCATAATCTGTTCAGTAAAACACTAAAATATAAAATTACACCTGCGTAAATATTGCAAAGATCTAAAATGTGAGAAAGGATATGCTTCTATTTGCCTTTCAATGCATCCTTCTGATACACTGATGGCCAAAGGATGGCTCCTTTTTGGTCACTTTCCATCCAATACATTAACTCTCGGAAGAATCACTAGACTCACACCGCCTCCATGCGATCTCCTTAAAAATCTTCCATCCTTCTCAGACTTCCCCACTCCCAAATTCCCCTTATCTGTTCCCTCCTGGTTTTCAAACCCATTCTCCTTCCCGTTTGTTGAGGAACACAGCTCCAGCAAGCAACTCCAGATTTCTTTTGGGAAACTCTGACCTAGGAATCCAACTTGTGGACTAGAGAACACAAGGCCTGGTTTCTCACTAAATGTCATGGGAAGACAAAGAGCTTAGCTCTTGCTCTGCCGGTAACTATTAACAACTATGTGATTTAATGTGCGTGTGTGTCTCAGTTTACTTAAGCAAGGGTCCTTTCTGGATACCTTATATGGATTGTTGGGAGAATCAATGTCATAAGAAATGCTAAATTACTGTAATATAATGTTCCTGAATCTCGTTATTCTTTCAAGATCTTTGTGAGTGTTCTTGCTCTCTCTTCCACATATCTTGGGGTACTCAGTGGTACCATCCTTAGACCCAAGAAGGAAAAGCCTTCTGCTTAGACTCTGCACCATAGAGGGCTCACACCCTTTTCTGTTTCCTTTGAGGACCAACTAGAATGTACCCTCCCTTCTAGATCATACTGTGGGCACCAGAAGTCCTAGAACTTCTTGCCCAGATGGCCCTTGACTCACATCCAGGACCTGCATGGACCTTTTCTCCCCTTCCGTCCCTCTGAGGGTGAATTGCAGCACTAAGGTATTTGTCCCCAAGGCCCAGTGATGGTCAAAGGATGGCAGCTTGCAGGGAGAAGAACTGGTGCTTAAGCACGTGGGTGGGGTGTCCCATGCATGCACGCAAGATCCCCACAGTGTGGGCGAGAGCCACGGGAAGGAAGAAGAGAAGGAGAGTGGGCTGGGGCCAGGGGCCACCTCTTCCTGGTCAGCCACACCGTGGCACTGAATGCCAAAAGTGTGAGAGTCCCAAATTCACACTAGGCCTTCCAGGTAGCCATGAAGGTATGTTTGTCAAGGTAAGAAGACAGAAGATATTTTATTTATAAGCTGGTTGACCTGATTAATAACTTTGAAATACTTAGAAATATAGTCTGTAGGCCTCTGTTGTCCTCCTGCCTTGGGCCCTGTAAGTCCTGGCGGTGGATCTGTATCCAGAGTTCACGCCAGCAGTTCCATCCTCAAGGAAAGGCCCCTGAGGTCCCAGGCCACCTTTACACTTGGCTCTAAATTTTCCTGATTGGGATGTAGGTCTGTATTTTTTAGAGGGTTCCAGGTAAATAGCAAGGCAGAATGCCACCTCTTACTTCCCTCCGTACCAAGAGAAGAGTTAGATTTTTACTTTCAAGGCAATTAACCTGGGACTAAGCATAATCCCCCAAAGGTGATGACAATGGTCTCACTCTGCCACATCTGCCTCCCTCTGCAACCTGCTGCAAGTAGGTTGATGTTAATGGTGAGGGCTACAATCAGGTCGTGTCTTAACACCATGTGTCAGGTAAGCAGGGTGAAGAAGTGCTATCGCTATCTCCATCTCAGACATGAAGAACTGGATCACCAATATGTTGGCCAGGAGGGAAGACTACAGTTCATGCGGGGCAAGTAGCAACAGGGCTCTGAGGTTTAGTGGACTCTGGAGTAGATGAAGCAGGGGGTCAGGCTCGGTCTACACTGCTAAAAATCTGGACGCATTCTCCATGTCTCTGGAGAGAAAAGGATGGGCTCGCATCCGACTTAGATGGGAGGTGGGTTGATCAAAATAAAATAGATGCAGAAGCTGATCCAGACTTCTTCCCTCTTTAGATCGGACCCTCTCACCACTCTGACTCCGAGGTCTGATTCATCTGAAGTCATGGTAGGGGGCAGGTGGTGGTGACATTCAGACACTAAATTAAAGAATCACCCTCTCAAGGCACACTTCCAAGACATCCCCTGACACCCCTCTCCCTGCCCACCCTCCCTGCCTCTCCCCAACACGTTGATTCCTGGGAATCCCATCTGGTCTAGCCTGGCCCAGCCCTTTTCTCTCTCCAAAGAAAGCTGGGCCTGGCTGAGGTGATGTCATGCTTTTGAACCCCCTCCCCCAGGGGCCTCCTTCACCCAGACAAACACTTTTGAACTTTTCCAGATGTGAAGAGAGACCTGCTGTTGGTTCTGAGGACAGAGATGGCTGTTCCAGAAGAACGAAGCAGCTCTGGACCCAGGCCCGCTACCGACCCACGAGGGGCGGGCCCCCAGCTGCAGCAGCCTCCCCCGGCCCACCGCTTGGCCGAGCACTGGAGAACGAGTAGCAGGATCCGTCTGCAAATGAGAACGGGACCTCGACTTCTGCCTGGGGAGGGCAGAGAAGCCTCTGAGACCCCAGAGGAAAAGGACAAGAGGGAGGGCAGAAAGCCAAGGCGGGGAGGCTGGGTGTACATGAGCGGGCACAGAGCAAGGGGACACGTTGGCCAGGGGCCTGGAGCCGGTCCTGACACAGGCACAACAGCACAGTGACAATCAGTGAGTGAGGCTCTGGGGTTCGCAGTCTCTAGAGCTCCCTGCACGGCGCTCCCGTGTAGAGACCAGGCCCTGGAGGAACAACATTTATAAGAGTCGATGGACCGTGGATCTCCTTTTATCCTATCTGCCCACACACATCCATGGCATTAAACCATCAAACACCGACCTTTCTTTATCTTTCTGACCCCCGACTCTACAGCGGAGGAATAGCAGCCTACCAGTTAGGGAGAGCTTGTCGGATTCTAAGAGACAACTGATGAAACCTCCACTCCTTTCCATTCTAGATAAGGAGGAACAGCTGTTATCCCCAACCCTACAAAGAATTACAGTACAATTTAAACTTGAATAAAAATCTGTCTGCTGTTGTTTACTTCTCAGTCCATCCTTTATAACTGCGTCTTTCTAAGGACCCCGTTAGACCCTGGTTACTCTATTTGATCTCAACTCACAAACCTGGAGCAAGGGGAGGAGATGAGGTATTGGGAAGCCAGTAAAACGAGGATGCTAAGAAGCCGAATAGATGTCACAAAATTCACGTAGTAAATGTCATGCATTGAACCTACAGGTACTTACTCAGAGGTAGTTATTCTTGTTTTACACACAATACTAACAAGCTTGGTTATCTGATATCCTAGCTAAAGCTGACGATTAGGAGGAGACTATTAGAAGTCAATAATAAGGACAAGGAACAGCTGAAAACTCAGAAAGAGAAATAAATGAAAAACAGACGTAAGTATCAACACCCACACTCGTCTGGAATCATTTATGGTGGGAGTAAATAGATACATACACCTTGAAAAGCCTTAACGATGTCACTGAGTTGCAACACAGCCACATCATTGTCACGATGCATCTGAGTCATGAAGGTTAAAGCCCTCTTTTTCGGTACTCTAAGGAACCAGAGGCATATGCGACACGTTTTGAAAAGATTTCTACCTACCGTTTGTAAACCGAAGATTCTTTTGCTCTTTAAAGTGGGTTTACAAATCCTCAGAGACTCAGAAATCTCTGCTACCTAAATAACTGAATTCCCCTATTTTCAGTGGCAGAGTTTTCCTATACTGGGTCTTGCTTTTCACAGTCCTCCTTAGTTTTGCTTTTTGACTGGTGCTGTTTTCTGATGTCCCCGCCAGCCAGCCCCACTCTGCCCATCTTTTCAAATTCCAGCACCTGGCCCAAGAGGAGTATCTTCAAGGAGCTCTGGGTATCTTAGCCCACAGAATTACAGTACCAGAAGGAAGGGATAAAAGGAGTCCCCACCTCTCAGTTGTTTTGAGGAACAAAGGAGATAAGACGTGCAAGCAGTTATCCTGTCTGGTAAAAGCTCAAGAAACAGTGACTATCTTTGTTATAAGCCCCTTCCTTCTGCTTCTTGGAGAGTGTGAGACACTTATCTCTACCACACATCTGGCACAAAATCATATATGATCTTTCCTCAGGATAGGTCCAACTGTCACCTCCGCTAGATTATAAATTTCTTGAGTGTCAGCACCATTATTATACGTGTGTGTTTTACTCCTGGTGCTTAGCTCAGCCCCCAGAGTTCAGAATAAGCAACAGGGTTGAATGGCAATTGCAGCGGTGTGTTTATATTAACCGCCCCCAGGTGTAATGATCTCGTTCTGCTGTTATATTTTAAGAGGGAATTTATGAAATTAGGGAGTTTCCACGTAAAGATAACCAGGATTAGATGAGTTCTAGAAATCAAGTCATGCCGTTGAGGGGCTAGTGTTATTTCTTCTCGATCAGTAGTTGGAAAACTATGGCCGGTGGACCAAACCTGGCCCCCACACAGGCTGTTTTTATATAGCCAGTGAGTCAAGAATGGCTCTCACATTTTTAAAGTGTCATAAAATAAGACAAAGTAGAATATGCATCAGAAACCACATAGGGTCCCCAAGGCCTGAAATATTTACTATCTGACCCTTTACATCAAAAGTTTGCTGTTTGCTTGATGACAAGAGATGTAGAAAAACAAAACAAAAAAAGTTTACTGAGTCCTGATATAGAAAAAAAGAATTTGAGGAGGGAGAATAAATAACTTTCTTCAAGTTTCACGTTATTTATACAGATCGAGCATCCTTAATCCGAAAATCTGAACTCTAAATTGCTCCAAAATCCAGAACTTTTTGAATGCCAACAATGACGCCACAAGTGGAAAATTTCACGTGACCCCATGTGATGGGTGGCCGTCAAAACACAGTCAAAACTTTGTTCCATGCGCAAAATTATTCAAACTATTGTATAAAATTACCCTAAGGCAAGTATTCCAAAATCTGAAGAAAATCTGAGATCTCAAACATTCTGGATAGGGGATATTCAACCTGTATATTCATTCTTATTTTTCTTAAGCACCAGTGATGCGCAAAGGATCTTGCTTGGTGGAGACTGCAAAATAACAGCCGATCTCTTGATCCCTTTCCTTCATGGGGCATTAGTGTCATTGTAATTTAGATAAATCCCTCAAGAAGTTTATAATCTAGTGGGGCCAACTGGAAAGGTCTTCAGGAATTGTCCTGAAGGACCAAATTAAATCTGTGACGGTCCAAAGAATAGAATTAGAACTAATGATTTGAAATTACAGGAAGGCTAATTTCACTGCAAAATGAAAAAAATTAAAATAATGTAGTTATTTTTAAGAAGGAAATGAGCTACTTTGGGAGATAAGAGAGCCACCCATGCTTCCTGGAGGCATTCAGGAAACATCCTTGTTAGAAGTCCCTTCCAACCCTGAGGTCTACCATGAGTTTGAGCCATCTCGGACTAGAACAAAGGACTGTGCTGATCCCTTCTTAAACTGCAGAGGCTAAGCTGAAGTGTGAGTGTAAACTAGGTTATCTCTAATCTGAGGGTTCCCAGTGTACTGAGGTTTCCCTTTTATATCCAAACAGCATGTTTTGGACCCCATCCACTCACTGTGGAACCCCGATATCTTGAGCATTCTCTGGGGGCCCACCTTTCTCCCAGTCATTTCTTGTTCCATCTCCCTAGCACCCCCGATTTCTGGATGGCAGTCCTTTTCTTTCTCCCCTCTTACATGTAGTCCCGGACAGGATATGGTTGTGGGGTCAGCAGACCTCAACACCATACTACTTCACCATAAGCTAGTTGAGCACCCATTCCCTTAGCCTCTCCTGAGAACCACTAGTGCAAGGCTAGTGTGTGTAGCTGATTTTTACTGAAGGTTTGAGAGCATGGAACAAGGGCAGCCCAGAAAAAACAACGGCATAACCTTGAAATTTTAGATAGTATGGTGCTAATGAAACCATACACTACGAATCTCCTTGGCCAGGTCTTTTCCACCCTCCACCCATCACTGTTCCACTATTATCCTGGGCACCTCTGCTCCCTCTCTATGCTCTTCCTTGTCTCTAGGGCTCACCTTTAAAACAAAGGGTTCCACTTTATTTTATCAAGCTTAGCATCCTCTCTGCCCCTGAACATGTAGGGTTTGTCCATTAAGAACCATTAAGCCAACTTTCTTAAACAATGGGCCCAGCTACCTAGAGATGCCACTTCTCTCTAAGAGGTATCAGTTTTTATTTTATTTTATTTTTTCCAAATCAGCAAGAAGCAGACTTCCCTGTTAAGCCAAAAGGCCTTTTCCTTTGCATGTGAAGGGCAGTGACTCATCCCCTGCCGGGTCCCAGGGTGTAGGTACTGGGAAGTACACCTTGGTACTCGGCCCGTGTCTATCTCCATCTTCCCAACACGCGTGCAGCTCTCCCCTTGGCACAAAGTCGGGCCCCTTGGGACTAAAAATCGTTGATCATATGTTTTCATTTCTTAGCTAAGGAGGGAAGAGAATGTTCTCATTAGGGAAGTCAAAGCCCAGAAAAATATGGAAATTCTGCCCTGGCGACTGTGAGAATTTTCTTTTGGAGGGTGGTGTTTTTGTTCTTTTTCCATACCTTCACATTTTCAGTTCTCCGCACTGCAGGCCATTTAGTTAGGGCAACTGAAGGCAATGCGAGAGGGAGGTCCAAGGACCCTGAGGGTGGAGCTGGGTAACCACCCAGCCCTGAAAAGTAAACCCAGGCCCTCCAGCCCAGGGTCTAAGGGAAATCAGGCAACGAGACTGTAAGCAGTGGAATTTGTTCCTCGTTTTTATTTGTTTTTGTAGGACTCTGCAGCTGAGTTTATCTGCTGCAGTTTGGCACTTCTTGCCCTGAGCTTTTGGAGACAAAGACTCAGCAAGCAAGGAAGAAGAGGACAAGGGAACAGGAGGCCCAGGAGGTGGAGCCAAAGGGATAAGAAAAGGCAGCCGTGGCCCCGGCATGTTCTATCAGCCAAACAGGAATGCGCTGAAGATGTGCGTTTGCACAGGTCGTGCCAGCTGGGTTGTCCCTACAAGGGGGGAGCATTGGGGACCACTGAATTAGTCAGAGGTCCCCAAGGCCGCTCCTCCTCGGTCGCCATGTGGCAGAGATTCAAAGGGTGGAGTCCTCTCCCCTCTGGAAAATATCTGATAAAATTCTTTTCCCTTTTCTTTTTCCCCTCTTACATGTAGCCCCAGACAGGATATGGGTGTGGGGTCAGCAGGCACTGAGGACCCAAAGGAAGAAGAGGAATGTGATGGGCGGGACTGGGGCTGTTGTCAGGGTGAGGAGAGGGACAGGCCTTGAAGGAAACAGATATCCTGAGCCTGACAAACGGGGTTCCCTAATTACCTGCGAGGCTTCCTGTCCCAGCTGGTGCTGCAGCGGTGCTGTCTGGTGCCCCCCCCAAACCCCCCACCCTGACTCTGCTCTGTGATCTGCCCCAATCCCAACCAACAGAGCCCACTTTGGGTTGGCTTCTATGCCTATACCATGCCAACTCCTCACAGGGACAGAAAAAAGACCTTCCCAAACCAAGCTCTTTGTTGGGGTAAATGACGAAAAACCACAGAACCCCCTTCTGCCCTAAATTTCACAGTAATAATAGCATTTCTGCAATCGCCCTTTGGTAGCATTTCAAGGTACAGTCATTCATGTCATTTATCCTAACAATGCATCCCAGGACAGAAAATGACTCCTGGTATTAAAACAAAACAAAACAAAATAAAACAAATCAAAGGAACCCGCTAGAAAGCTCTTGCAGGAGGCTACAACTGGCCCAAGCAGTCTGGCAAGGTTGGGAGTGGGTACTCATGTCCCATCCTTCCTTCTCGAAGCTGAGACACCGAATCCTCAGCATATCAGCCCAAGGTTCTGCAAAGGTTGTGTTGCTCCCCCCACCCCAACCTCAGCAGGCCAGGGCGAGACCGACACCGGCCAGCTGAGGAAATAAGAAATGGGTGGGCCTCGCTGGGCCCAGGACCAGGTCATCGTGCGCTGTCTAGCCAAAGGAGAGTGGAGCATCTGATTGGAATCTGAGCCACTGGCTAATCACCCTTGTCATGAAAGCACAGTCTAGCACCCATCCTAGCGTTCCCAAACCTTGGTGACAGCTTTTCCCCTGCCCCAAGGGGCATGTCCAGGGCTGCCAAACAGGACAACCCAGGACCTAACTCAGAGCTTCCTCCAGCCCTGAGCCAGCTCTCTCCAATCCGGTGGACTCAAAGGGGGCCAGCAGAGGAGACTGGGAGCACAGAGGCCTAATCCAGGTCACTCTGCAGGGCCGTGGTGGGTGGTCTTTAGAATAGGGTGAGAGTAGGGAATTGGGAGCCCTGGAGGGCTGGAAGCAAGAGGGAGAGCAACTTACAAAGTTTGCTCCTTCCAACTGTAGTGAGATGAGATGGAGAATGTTATTCCTTTAATGACAGCAATCAAACATAAATATTTATTGGGCACCTATTACTTTTTTACCAAACCAAGAGCAAGAGCCTGAGAAGTAAGGGTATGTAGAGGGGAGTGGGAGAGTGTCTTGACCCATCTACCAGCTTTAGAACTTGGAAGAGGGCAGAGGAAGAAAACTCCAAAAGGGGACAAGTTTGAGACTGTGCAGGGGTGAGGGGTGGTAGTGAGGAGAGCAAGGCTGGGGGCGGACCAAACTCCCTCTGCCACGACCTCCTCTCCAGTGGGATCGTGTGGTGTTCGAAGGAGGAATTCTAACTAAGCTTTCCGATCTTAAATGCAAGATTTCTTTTTCCCAAACTGTTCTTCATTACAAACTTCTCTGCTCACCTAACTCGGCCTTCCCCGCCGGCGTCCTGCGCGTGGGACGCGGCGCCTCGCCCCTGATTGGCTTCCCTCACAGCCCTTAGGGTCCACTTCTGGCTCCCGATGTCCCGGTGGGCGGTGGGCGCCTGGGCCCCTTCCCCGAAACGCTCTCCAAGCCTCTGCTTTCGGGATCAATCCACAGGCACGAAACCTTCCTGCCTCTCCGCTCCCCCTTCTCCTGCTCCGGGCTCCGGGCTTCGCGCTCCACACCTTTGGCAGCGCGAGCCACGGGCATCTCCAGAGCACTTTATCTTAGTTGAGTCCAGCGAGTGGAGGGGCCGGGCTCGCCCTCCTCGGCTAACTCACACCCCCGGCGGGCGCCGTGGCCTTGCCTCCCCTTCCCCTCCCGCCGCCACCGACTCCCAGGTGAGGCGCGGGTCCGGGCGGGCGCGGCCGGGGGCGGCAGCGCGTGGCTGGGGGCGGGGGGTCCCTTCCCTTCGCGCGACTCTGCCCTGCGGCTCAGCCCCCGGGAGAGCCTCGGCCCAACCCGCGGGGAAGGGGGCGGCCGCGGCGCGCGGCGATACTCACGCAGCAAACTCAGCAAGCAGAGCGCGGTCCAGCCCCGCGGCATCCCGGGCCCCGCGCGCGCGCCCCTGCGGCCCAGCATCCTTCCCGCGCCGCTGCCCAGGAGATGCACGGAGTCGAAGACGCTGCTCCGCCGGGCCGGGACGCGCTCCTCCCGCCCCCTCCGCCCGGGAGGGAGGTGGGAGATTCTTGCTTTATTCCCCTCCCTTCCCTCTTTAGTCTTGGCAAGGCCGGCCCCTCTCCTTGGCTGCCACTAACGTTTGCTTCCCTGGTTAGTCCCAAAGGCGGAGGGCGTTAGGAGGGAGGCTGGGGTTGCCAAGGTCGAGGCCAAAAAAGGTGGAGGTTTGTGCTGGCCCCAGATGCCTTGTTCAACTTTTTCTGAACGAGAGGCCCCATCCTACTCCTTGAAGCTCAACTTCCACTTAACTTTTAACCCCTTGGTGTCAGCCTTGCCAGTGGCCAGGGCAGGGGCAAGTGTCCTCTGATTTTTTTTTTTTTTTTTCATTTTCTTTCCTTTTTCTTTTTCCTTAGTTTTAAGCCTTAACAATCTTGTGGAAGGAATCTACTTCGAGCACCTCGGTTTAGACGTGTGAGCATTTTGCTAATCAGGTAAAACTTACCACGTGTCCAATCTGACACACGTAATGATAGTCATACCAGATACTGTGCTGCGTGTTAACGGAGCATGAAGAGTGAGCAGGACACGCAAATGACTATAATTATTCATTTCAGCTGTCCAGACCATTCTCGTAGACATTTCCTTTCACTTTTTTTCAGCAAGATCTGTTCGTGTTAACTCGGAGGAGTTTTTCCTGGGACTGTCCATGTTTTCCCACTTAGTCTGATCATAACCATCACCATCATCACAAGGAAAAAGGACTTCCCTCATACCTCGGATGCTTTTCTCCGGTCATCCCCTCTCCAGCTCTGATCTAAGCCTCTAGGGGCTCCTGCTTGCTCTCCCATGAAAAGAAGGATTTCCTGTGACTCCACCCTCCACCACCTGATAGACCTTGAGCCTCCTGTTTCTCACCAGTTGTTCTGGTCATTGGTGAACTGAACTACAGAAACTCTGAGCTGGGCAGTCAGCCTACTCACGGATTTGGGAGGTGGAGGCTGGAGAGAGAGGAGCCAGGCTGGGCGGGTGATGGCACCAGGCAGGGGATAAGATTAGGCATAGCCTGGCAGAACATGCTCCGATAGCCTCAGTGGAATCACAGGATTTCAAATATTCAGTTGAGTCTCTTCCATGATGTCTGTGCCACATAGGCTAAAGGGAGGAAAGGAAGGTCAGACCAGCACCCTGTCACCTTGTGGTCCTTTCTGATTTATTGCTCTGCAGACACTCTAGCATTATGAAAATAGGTTTATCTTTATGGTCCATCTCAGCATTTGGGTTGCACAGGAGAAGGGCGTCCAGGTCTAAAAACACCATCAAAATCTCCTTATTCGGATCTGGTTGCCCAACGTTCCTTTAAATAGGGAATGAAGCCTTTCACCACACAATAAAAACAAAGGCTTAACGTGTAAATTTGATTGAACACAAAGGTATGCTACGAATCTGTTTCAAAGTGCAAATGATGATTCAGATCTGACCACATCGTGATTGAAAAGGCCTGCAGCTGGGCTGCAAAAAATACATTTTTAAATCTGGCATTGCTCTTTTGGACTCCCAATTAACAGAGAAAGGGAGTTAGCTCCAATACCACCATGCCCCCCACTCTCCCCAACTCCCTCAGCTCCAAGAGCTGGGGTTGCTTCGGGCACCCAGTGTGAGCTGGTGGACAAAATGCAGGGTTGTCATCCCTGCTAGATATGAAAACCAAGTTGGCCCAGTTGGCTCTAACTTCATTCCCAAACATTTCTTCTGGTTACTTCAAATATGATTTGTCTCCCGTAGCTGGCCCATGGTAAACAGAGGAAAGCACTTGTCTCTAGTACCTGAACTTCTTGATTAGCTTTGGGAGTAGAGACAGGGAATGATTCTATGGAGCAGAGTTTCTCAAAGCATGGTCTGCACAATCGGAATCAGGGTAAGGGCTATGGGGATCTGTACTTTTTATAAGAACTCTCTGTGATTCTTACACCCATCAAAGTCCAGGAAGCCCTGGTATAGAAAGAAGATAGGCTAGGTACAAAGTGGATGTTAGACTTCAAGGAAGGAAAACATGAGTAGAGGGTATGAGAGGCTGGTGAATCACTTGCTCTGAGAGACCAGAGCTGTTTCTTCTGTGGCCTGCAAGGCTATGGATAGCACCAGAACTATGAAGCTGGGTGATGACTGGACACTTCCTATTTCTCAGGGTCACGGAGATTCATCACTCCAAGCACACACACCCTCCCCCCAACCACCCACAAACGCAAGTTCTGGCCACAGGACACAAATCCACCAAGGGACTCCAGCCTTATGCTTCCTCACAGCCAGATAGAGCTGAGTGATCAACTCTCTTCAAGGCTCTAGCCTTCCTGGGCTACTCCCCAATTCTCTGCTCCCCTGTTCCATCACATCAGCTGTTGCTAGAAGAGGACGTTAGCTACACTGCACAGAGTGAAGGGTGCAACAGAAACATGCTGAGTGAGAGGCTCTGTCAGGCCCTTTGTAGACCCTTGTAGGTCATGACCACTTCCTACTGAACATCCCCTACCCCACCCCGCCCCCAATTACACGCACATCACGTCAATCAACCTATTATAAAATAGACCCTCATCCCATGCTAAATATAACATCTTTGATGTTTAAAGAAATAAGGTAAATGATTTTTATAATTCTGAGCTTTAAAATGTATTCTTCATTTTGTCCTTGAAATTCAAATTTTATTGCATTTACATAAAACTATTAAAGAATTGAATTGTAGTTTACAAGTTGACTAAGTTTACCTTTTGCAGGCATTTAATGAAAAATGTGTTAATTTTTATTTTCCAGTTTTGTATTTTGGAATTTTATATTTTTTCCCCACATCGTAAGCTTTTTTGGTGAGTCTTTGAAAGCACTCGGGTTGGGGCCCCAGTGTGGCAGGGAGGGATCCTTGGTGGTGGAGGTGTGCAGATGGTGGAGGGAGGCAGTGAGGACCTGCGTCCTGAAGTGAGTACCTTCGTTCCTCTTTCCACCTGTCAGTCTCCCTCCAGTGCCTCCACTTGGCAGAAGCTAATCGGAAACTAGCTGACAAGGGAGTCTGGAAAGCGTGGCATGCTTACTCTTAGCCCCAGTTTCCCGTGAGAAACCACCTTGATGCAGTGCTTGCCTCTAGGATAGGCAGGCTATTCCAGGGGCCACAGCCCAGAATGGCGCAGACCAAATTATGATGATCAAATCACAAAGGTTGTTGAATCTATTTAAAAACACACAGCCAGAATCCAGAGGAAAGAGTTGCAGTAAGTTAACACACGTGGGATAGAGTGCAAGCAAAGTGAAAGGACCATACTGGCTTGATCTTGTGTTTTGTTCTGGTGTGATGATGTAGTTATGAGGACCAGAATGGACATTGAGTTTAGGGGACCAGCAAATGGAAGATGCTTGGAGCCACTGTATGCTTACGCTACTGGGAGATGCAAGGACAAATAAGCCTGGCCACAGGTCCTCATCAGTGTCCTGGGCGGGCATCCCTTTTGTCAGCATATCTGGGGTAGAGCATATAGGGGCCAGAATGGTGCCTCCAATAGGTAGACAATTTAGGGACGACATGGCTGTCAGCCCCAAGGTGGCATGGTCTAGTCCTTGTGGCTTATGAGTTGCTTTTTCTATCCCTTTCTACCTGTAAGTAACACTCTCATTTTTTCCATCCCTTTGCAATATATTCCATTTATTCTATGCCTTACAGGTTACTAACTTAATACAGGTTGAGCATCCCAAATCTGGAAAATCTAAAATTCAAAATGCTCCAAATTCTGAAACTTTTCTAGTGCTCATTGGAGCATTTTGGAGTTCAGAATTTTGAATTTGGGATGCTCAATCAGTAAGCATAATGCAAATTTTCCAAAAAAAAAAAAAATCTGAAATCTGAAACACTTCTGTTCCCAAGCATTTTGGATAAGGGATACTCAGCCTGTATTTTTAGCACACCTTCTGAATTCTGCCTATGTCTCACGAGTGACTTGCTTACTTTTTATCTATAGTTAATAAATCTGATGAGTTTCACCCATTCATTTGCTTTTCATGTCCTCTGTGGCAGAGTCGAATATTTTCGCATAATAGAGCAAACAAACATTATGCCCAGTGTTATAGAGGAGAGTACAGAGGGTGAGGTTGGGGCTTAGAGACACAAGATAAGTAACTGTCATAAATCTAGTTTCATATATTTTTCATACAGAAAACCATTTTCCTAGTTCCCTTTTCTAAGTAGTCTCTTCTTTCCCTGCTGATCTGACGTGCCATTTTTGACATGTTTCAACATCTCATGTATATGTGGGTCTGTTTCTGGGCTCTCTGTCCGTTGGTCACTGTTTATATCCCAGTGCCTTTTTTTACCATTGACTTATTACTGTAGCATTAAATAAGTCCTGATATCTGTAGGACAAGTCTTCCCCTCTCTAATTTTCTTCAGATGTGCCCTGGCCATTCTTCATTCTTTCTTCTTCCATACAATAATAATTTGATAAATGCTCATCAGATTCCTTTCCAAAACAGCCTTTTGGATTTTGATCAAAATTGCTCCATAGATTAACTTGGGGAGAACAGAATCTTTCATTCAATGAACTTGGTATATATCTCCACTGTTTGAGTCTTCATTAAAGTTTATGACTTTCCCTGTAGTGGTTTCAATTCATCTTTTGTTAGATTTATTCCTATGTAATTGATGTCTTCTAAGACTAGGGTAAGTACTATCTTTTTAATTATTTTTGTTGCTAGTGTGTGAAAATGCAATTCATTGTTTTATATTACTCTTTTATTGAGCTACCTTGTTAAATTCTCCTATTAGTTCTAAGTATTTATAGATTCTTTTGGGTTTTCTATGTAAATGATCATATCAAGTGCAAATAGTGATAATTTTATATTTTCTTCCCAATCCTTCTGTCTGTGATTTGTTTTTCTTAAGTTAACGTACTGGCAAGCATATCCAAGGATGAAGAATGTGGTGATCTTACACATCCTTGCCTCATTCCAGATTTTGAAGTGGAAA